TGTTGTAGTTAAGCCTTCATTGTTGTATCACTGGGAGGAATTGAACTCCAGGCCATTTGGCTGTGAAAATAAGCTGTGTGTATGGTGGGAGAACTTCTGTGCTGCAGACACCCTTATGGGGAAGACTTGCGTCAGTGGGGCTTTGGTGCTCACTGGGTCTGCCCCCTGAGTATGTCCCTTATGGACCTGAGTAGTTGTAATCTGGATGGTCCCACTCTGACCACTGGGTACACTGGTTCTTGGATCTTGAAAGAGGTGCTAATTTAGCCTCAGCCAGCCTCCCTGTGGTTCTGGATGATGTCCATTTTGTCTTTTAGTTGTATTTTTGAAGTGGTTGTGCGAGGCAGCAGTTTCAGGTGTTTACCTATGCCGCCATCTTGGTTTCTCCAAGAGGTGGTTTTATCTGTCTTTACCGTTTAGCTGTTAGATTATGATGAAATCAGAAGTGGATTTTGTTGTGTTTATTCTGTTTGGGTATTGAGCTTCATGACTCCATAGGTTTATGTCTTTTGTCAAATTTGTGACGTTTTCAGCCATTATTTCTTCAAATATTTTACACACTCTCTCCCCTCCTAGGATACTGATAGCCCAAATATTAGAGTTTTTGGTTTTGGTTTTGGTTTTTTAGGACCTGATGATTTTTTTCCCACCCCACCCTAGTCCTTTTTCTCTTCATTTTCATGTTTGATATTTCTATTGAAATTTGATATGTCTTCAGATTTACTAGTTCTTCTGTCATTTCTGTTCTGCTATTGAACACACCAAATGAATGTTTATATTTTGGTTGTTTTATACAATTAATATATATATTAATCCTCACCTGAGGCTATATATTTTTTCCCATTGATTTTTAAAAAATATATATTTTATTGATTTTTTACAAAGAGGAAGGGAGAGACATAGAGAGTTAGAAACATCGATGAGAGAGAAACATCAATCAGCTGCCTCCTGCACACCCCCTACTGGGGATGTGCCCACAACCAAAGTACATGCCCTTGACTGGAATCGAACCTGGGACCTTTCAGTCCGCAGGCTGACGCTCTATCCATCGACCCAAACCGGCTAGGGCTCCCATTGGTTTTTAGAAACAGGGGAAGAGGAGGCGAGGGGAGAGGAGACGGGAGGGGAGGGAAGGGAAAAGAGAGAGAGAAACTTTGATGTGAGAGAGACATCAATTGGTTGTCTCCTGCACACCCTGAGTTCAAACTTGCAACTCAGGTAGGTGCCCTTATCCATCAATCAAACCTGAGACCCTTCAGTGTGTGGGCCAACACTCTCACCACTGAGTAACACCAGCTAGGGCAATTGTTATATTTTTTCATTCTAAAATTTACCTTTGTTTCTTTTTTTATATCCTCATTGTTTTTTCTGAGGCAGTCTGTCTTTTCATAGTTTCAGGAGTGTTTTTCCTAATTTTTGGAGCATTTTTCTTATAGCTACTATAATAGCTGTGAGATAGTTTCTGCATCTGTGTCATCTCAGTATTGTATCTGTTAATCTCTTTTCCTATGCAAATTGAGATTTTCTTTGTTCTTTGTATGCCAAGTAATTTTGGGTTATGTCCTGGAAAATTTGAATATTGTATTCCAAGGGTCTGGGTTTTGTTTAAATGCTGTAATGAATGTTGACTTTTATTTTAGCAGACATTTTACCTAATTGGGTTCAGCTTGAAAGTTCTATCCAGCCTTCAGTCAGTGGTAATTACAAAGCCATTTCAGTTTTCTGAGTTTTTGCAGTGATATTTAGATCTGCTTTGCATCTATGTTATTTATTAACTCATCTGGGAAGTGGCCAGTGGTTATTCTCATAGTTCAGAGTAACCTTTTTGTTAAGAGATACACATGGAATTATTTTAGGTATGAAAGGTCATTATGAGAACATCTCAGATAGTTCTGAAAAAAAATGTGTAAATTTTTGCATACATACTAGTATATACTAGATCTGTATGTGAATCTAGATGGCTATTGTACTCTTGTTGCAAATTCTGTGTACACTAGTAATTTCTCAAAAATCTGGAGGCAAACAAGAAATATTCATTAAAAAACAAACAAACAAACATGGCCCTGGCTGGTTTGGCTCAGTGGATAGAGCATCAGCCTGCGGACTGATGGGTCGTAGGTTCGATTCCAGTCAAAGGCATGTACCTCGGTTGCGGGCACATCCCCAGTAGGGGGTGTGCAGGAGGCAGCTGATAGATATTTCTCTTTCATCGATGTTTCTAACTCTCTACCCCTCTCCCTTCCTCTCTGTAAAAAATCAATAAAATATATTTTTTAAAAAACACAAAAAAACATGGCATTTCTTTGCTTTAAGACTCCCAATGGTATCTCATCTTGCTAGTATAAAAGCCAGATTCCGTTCAGTGGTCTGTTTGGCCCTTCAGGATCCACCTTCTAACCTCCTAGTGGCTCTCATATCATTCAGAGAAAAAACAGAATCCTCTTTTTCTTCTTTTTCTTCTGTATGACCCTTAATGAATCTATCTCATAATCCTAGAGTATATCATAGTGTCTGGCCCATAGTATGAACACAAGCACACAAGAAATATGTGGTTGAATGAATGACTAGTTGTCTTTGTGGCAGTTTTTGTTGTTTTTCTCAGGATGACTAGACTTTTCCTATATGTTATGTTGTGCTGTTGCAGAGCTTGCTCCACCTATAATGTCCATACTTGCTGTAGCAATAGATCATTATTACTTTTTCTTAGGTTCTTATAAATTAGGGCCTAAGGTCACTTCTAAGTCTTCTGTCTCAGAGCCATACATACTTTCAAGAACTATTACTATTCTTTCTTGGTGTCCTTTGTACCACTTACTTTACTTTAATCTATTTATCCTTATCCCCATCCTTATACTGAGTTCTCATCCTTTTGTATCAGTTCTATCAGTAAGGTGCCTTCACAACTTCCTCATTCCCCCATATTATGGCCAAAGTCTTCTCCCTCTCCTTTTGGGGACAGATACAGGAGAAGGAACAGATAGCTACTAGTATCCGATGTTGCCTACCTTCTTCCCCAAAATGAAGAATGATTTTACTAAATATAGCTTTCTGGAAAAAAAATTCTCAATAACTAGGTTTGGTCTTAGTTTCTAAAGTCCAGCTCTGTAGCTTTTAGGCAAAGACCATTTCTCTGGCCTCAATTATTTTGCAGATGAGAAAAAGGCAACATAATTTTTAAAGTGAACTTTTAATTCAATACATATCTCCAACTCATTGTTCTTCTCTAATAAGACTCTATTTTGTCATCTCAATATATGCAGTAGAAAAGAGCTGCTGCTGTTTCTTTAAAAAGCCATCCTCAGAGCAGTGTGGAGGCAGGCATGTCACTGAACTGCTTGAATGAGAGGAAGAGAGGAGGTGGAAGGGGGTGCTCTTACAGCCTGTGTGTGCGTGTGTGTGTGTGTGTGTCTGCGTGCGCGCGCACGCACGCGCACACGAGTGGACTGTTGGCAGAGCTCTAGGTGACATCCCTCTGAACAGCTGGGCCATGGACTGATTCAGAGCTGCTTGTCAGAGCAATTAGCTTGCTGAAGACGCAGCATTTCATTCAAGGGTGAAGGGTGCAAGAGGGGACTGTGGGTGGGGTAAGAGGCACAGGTTTCCCAGAAGGAATTTCTTCCAGCAAAATTCCGGCAGAACTGATTCTTACAATGAGATCTCCATTAATAATGTGAGCTCGCTGTTGGTTTAAGTGCAGATCCATCTGGGGTGAGTTTTGGATAATTTTTATTTCTTTATATAAAAGCCCTTGAACTCCACAGACTGGATAGGGGAGAAGTTAGAAAGGTATCTTTTGTATCTTGGCCAATTTAACTATATAATACACACTAGAGAAATGAGAGATTGTTCAAGTGTTAAGTTTTATGGGGGTCTTGGGGCATTTTCGGGGTTTTTTATTTAAAATATTTTTAAAATTAGGCTTGCTGGAACTTTTTCTATATTCAGATTTTACCTCTTCCATGGCTATTTCAAATGATGCTTCATTCAGATTTAGCTTATGAAAATAGTGGTGATTTCTGTTCTCTGTGGTGATGCTGTTGACGCACATTGCAGGAAGCAGGGAATCCCCTATAAATATCCTTCACTGTGTCATTCCACAGCTATCCACACCCAGCTGGTGAATATGTCTCTCTGTCCTATGTCTTTATGTAACTGTCTTAGTCTTTGAATGTGATAAGAAGAACAATGTTGCCTTTACTGTTTTTAGGAAGCTTTTTTTAAAATTATTATTATGAACATCTTAGGAGGAATTTTTTCAGTATTTTTACTAAAACATGCCTTTGACTTGTTAAGGTTGTCATAAGAATTTCCCTGGGGGTTTACTGCTTCTTAATTGGGATTACTTGTTTGTCTCTCATAATTGGCTTGTTTTTGTTTGCTGGCCTTGGTTTCTAAAGAGTGCGGAGATGGGATTCCCTCTACCTCCAGTGACGTAGTGAATTTGTTTGCAGTCTTTTTCTTCTGAGCGGGAGGGGACAGAGAAAGAAGAAGAAAAATCCATCAGAACTGGTGCGTTCTATACCTTGATGATAACTGGGTGGATTGAACAGAACTGAGAGCAAAATGAGATGTTGTTAATGATAAGGATGCTATTTTGTTTATTTCCTTTTAGAATAGGCTGGGGTCAAAGTCAGGATTGCTGAAGCAGTGTGCCTTAATTAACCCTATGTATCCTACTGTTAGTGAATTTTGCCTAATTGTTTTTTCTAAATATGAAATTTTGAAAAGGGCTCATAAGCAGGTTTCTGGAACCTATCATCCATGAATAATTCTAGGTTGAGTTTTGGAATTTGGAATTTTTCTATCTTATTTGCACTGGTCCTGAGCCTGCAGCTTGTACACTGTTTAAGCAGACCTCAAAAATAGGTGGTTATATAAAATTTCTTGCTACTGTTGTTAGAGTAAAACTCTCATTTTGAATGTCTAGAGCTAAAGAAAAGCTTTAGGAAGAAATTGTTAGATATACTCTTAGGTATGAATCTAACTTCTCTTTTTTTTAGATTAAGTGCTTGGGCTTCCTGCTCCTTTTTATGCAACTCCATTTTAATACCACTGATCTCTGGAGGGCTGCCTGCAAAGGTCAGTGTGAAAAATTCAGAAGACTTAGAGCCTAGGAAAATCTAAGGTTTCCTTTCTGTGGATGTGTTTGCATAGCAAATGTGGATCAGTTCCTTTAAGAACTTACTGTTTTATTAGTTTTATTTTCTATCCTGATACTCTTTTCTGTTCTGTGCTTCCATTATTCTAAGTAATATATGTGAAGTGAAAAGAGTAATGTCTGCTTTTCAGCTTACTTTGTGCAGTCCTATTTTTATGATCATTCAATTATATGAATATGTATTATAGCCATAAATATTTCAAACTAACAAAATTCTAATTTTATTTGGAGAGAAGGGAGTGGAAGTGGTGATAATCCTAAGGTAAAACAAGAGCATTCCAGGATAACCTATTTAGAAACTACCAGAGACTGGAGCTATAAGGGTTAAGAGAAATTCCACTGCATCTTGCATCTCAATATTGCAGCAAATATGTGGATAATTTCTTGCTAGCTTTTCAGGAAACCCCTGTGGTGGACAACCCTCATTAATCGTTGCTGGGAGACTGCTCTGACGTCACTGGGAGCAGTTCCCTGTCTGCAGCGAGGACTGGAATAGCCAGCCTTTGAGGGGGAAGAAAACTGCTGTAAAATTAAAAGAAAAGGGTTTTGTTAACTTGGTTTTCCTTTCATTTTGGAATGGGTGGAATAGACCTAAAGTCTTTCTTAAATGTTTCAGTCATTAGCAATTATATTATTATTATTTTTAAAAAACATTTTTTTTTATTGATTTCAGAGAGGAAGGAAGAGTGAGAGAGAGAGAGAGAGAAACATCCGTAATGAGAGGGAATCATGGATCGGCTGCCTCCTGCAAGTCCCCCACTGGGGATGGAGCCCACAACCTGGGCATGTGCCCTTGACCAGAATTGAACCTTGGACCTTTCAGTTCATAGGCTGATGCTCTATCCACTGAACCAAACCGGCTAGGGCAGCACTTGTATTATTTAAGTCTCTTTATTTCAAATGAAAATACCTTCTTTTTATATCTTTATTTTCTAACCATCAAGGTTTTGAAAAGGTCAAGGAAAAGATTTTATTTTCTTTTTATCCTTTTTCCCCACTTTTTTTTTAAGGAGAAGAAAAAGATTCAGAACTGCTTTTGCAAAAGGTATTTAGCATCACCCTAATTGGGATAATTAAAAATGTGACTTACGTTGGAAGACCTTTCTGGTGAAATTGATAATGACTATTTCTGTGCCTAAAACTTACTATATGTACTTCTCTCTAATGTTCTCTTCTAACCTACCCACTCCCACTGCTATATAGCCTGTTAGAAGCTTCTTTCTTTGAAAAGTATAGCTAAGTACTTGGACTCTGATTTAGGCTGCCTGAGTTCAATTCCCAGCTTGTCCAATTGCTGGTTCTGTAACCTTAGACACATTACTTAACCCCTCCATTTCTTCATATGTAAAATATGAAATGAAGATAATAGCATCCACCTACTGGGTTGTTTTGATGATTAAAAGAATTAATACATGTAAAGCCTATAACATAGTTCCTGATGATCTGAAAGGCTCACTTAGCATTAGCCATTATTACTGATATTTAGAAATTAAACAGGATAATGCTATTTATGTCTTCGGATCATCTGTAATTTTCGAGGAAGCCAGGAGAGATTTTCAAGCCATGTAGGATATTGAGCTTCTAAAATGAATATAAATATAATCTAAATATTTAAACTTAAATTTGACACTGTTGATCCTTTTAGAAAGTATCTTTTCTAATTTGATGCTTATAGGCTAAATTGCAAAAATGTTCCCTCAGATTAACAGCTTTTTTTCTTTCTTTGAGCTTTTGACTTCTGTAGATGATGGTTAGTTGTTTTTTAATTTTTTGTTTTGTTTATTTTCTACCACTGATTCTGATCTACTTTAAAATCTTAGGACACTTATCTTTAATGTCTACCTCTGAAACTTAGTATCTTTAGTTTCTTCTGAGTGGGTAAATTGATGTGGTCTTCCTCCATATGTTTGTGAAAGCATAAGATTTATATGAAATACCACGTCTAAAAAACTTTTTAAAAAAAATATTTTTATTGTCAGAGAGGAAGGGAGAGAGAGAGATAGAAACATCAATGATGAGAAGAATCATCGATCAGCTGCCTCCTGCACGTCCCACATTGGGGAATCAAACCCACAACCCATGCATGTGCCTGGACCGTGATCTCTTGGTTCATAGGTTGACATCCAACCACCGAGCTGTGCTGGCTGGGCTCGAAACGTCTTTAAATTCTAGCTTTAAAAAAATCTAGGATCTTAAATGGACTAAATGTCAAATCACAAATACTAAAATGGCCAGTGTCTCCATGCCCTTTTACCTTCTTTTTTTGTTACTGTTAATCCTCACCCGAGGATATTTTTTTTCATTGATTTTTAGACAGAGTGGGAGGAGAAGGAGGGACAGAGAGAGAGAAATACCGATGTGAAAGAGACACATCAATTGGTTTCCTGCAACCAAGGTACGTGCCCTTGACTGAGATCGAACCTGGGACCCTTCAGTCCGTAGGCTGACACTGTCCACTGAGCCAAATTGGCTAGGACCTTTTACCTTCTTTTTAATTTCATATTAAAGACTTAGAGAGTGTTCTTCTTGTGTGGTTTTTGAAGCTTCACCTTTTGGATTGCTCTCTAAACTACTAAGGTACACTGACAAGAGCTATTAAGGTGTCTAACATTAATTGCAAAAAGAATATCTACCTGTATAACTTTTTATCCTTTCCTCCTTATTAATTTTCTTAGGCCAGTAAGGCTTAAGGAGCATGGGGTACATATCTCCTCTAGTGGGATATGTGGGGAAAGTCAATATTACTAAAAAGGGGCATGAGCTGAAAAAAAATAAAAAGTAAGGAGCACTTGTCTGAGTGAATGTCCTTAAAGTCCAGGCAATGCCATGGGATATGCTAAGTGGACATCATACACTGAGTGGCCAGATTATTATGACCACCTGGCATTTGTAGGCAAATTAGCCATACACTGCGTCGTATGGGATATGGAAACTGAAGGCCTATTCGAACACCTTTGCTGTCTGCAGTTACCAAGATAAAACATCTCCAATTCGCACAGGAACACAAGGATTGGACAGTCAAGCATTGGAAAAGTCATGTGGTCCAATGAATCACGTTTCCAGTTGCACCATGCAGATGGCAGAGTGAGCATTTGGCAGAAACAGCATGAAAGCATGCACCCCACATACATGAGTACAACCCTTCAAGCTGGTGGGGGCAGTGTTATGGTTTGGGGCATGTTTTCCTGGCATGATTTGGGCCCTTTAATTCATGTGGAACAACGTCTGAATAGCACAACATACCTAAGTATCGTTGCTGGTCAAGTTCATCCTATCATGTTGGCGTATCCCAATCGAGATGGCTTTTTCCAACAAGACAATAAGCCATGCCACGGTGCTCGTATTGTGCAGGAGTGGTTTCAAGAACATGAGGGAGACTTTACCTTGCTTAGATGGCCCCCCCAATCACCAGATCTCCATCCAATTGAGCATTTGTGGGACGAAGTTAAAAGAGCCATCAGGCAGCTGGTTCCACAACCATCAAATCTCACAGAACTGGACAGGGCTCTTCATCAGGCAGGTGTCAGATTCCTCACATCACCTTTCAACATCTCGTGGAGTCAATGCCAAGAAGAATCGCCGCAGTATTGAAGGCAGAAGGTGGCCCAACGATGCACTGATGGGGTGCTCATGATAATCTGGCCACTCAGTGTGTGTGTGTGTGTGTGTGTGTGTGTGTGTGTGTGTGTGCATATTCCACATTCAAAGGCTGTTAAATTGAGTTATTTACCCAAATCTTCAGAAAAAAAGTCACTTCTGTTGTGGTAAACAACCTGCTTCCCTATTTATAATGGTCTGGCCCTCTAGCAACTTTAGCGTGAAATTATAGCTAATTTGCCTACAAACGTCAGGTGATCATAATAATCTGGCCACTCCAGTATGTTGCTGGGGGAATAGGTAAGAAACGCTTAATTAGATATCTAGTGTGACTGCCCTTGCTTCTGTTAACTGAAGTGAATTAAGGGGGAATTTTTTTTATTTCCAAAATGTATTAACTCCTGAATGTATTCATCCTAGGGAGTTGATAAGAAATGTAAATGAAGATCTAGATACAAAGAAACTCATCACAGTATTATTTTATTATAAATATTAACATTTTCAAATATTCAATAATAGGGAAATAGTTAAATTATTTTTTGTTTGTCTCCTGCAGGCGAGGATCAAGCCTGCAACCCAGGTATATGCCCTTGACCTGGAATTGAACCCAAGTCCCTTTGGTGTGTGGGCTGATGCTTGAACCACTAAGCCACATGGCCAGGGCTAAAATGAACTTGTTAAAAAGTAATAATGGAGAAATGGTCACAATTTTAGTAGTAGTAAAAAGCATTGTATAAAAATCCTATATAATAAAACCCTAATATGCAAATCGACCAAATGGTGGAATGACCGGTCACTATGATGTGCACTGACCACCAGAAGGCTCAATGCAGGAGCTGCCCCTGGTGGTCAGTGTGCACCCACAGGGGGAGCGCCGCTCAGCCAGAAACCAGGCTCACGACTGGCAAGTGCAGCAGCAGTGGCAGGAGCCTCTCCTGCCTCCAAGGCAACGCTAAGGACCCCTGGGGGATGTCCGCCTACCGGCTTAGGCAGACATCCCCCAAGGGGTCCCAGACTGCGAGAGGGTGCAGGTGAGGCTGAGGGCCCCTCCCACCCCCCACTGCATAAATGTTGTGTACCGGGCCTCTAGTATTCTATGTAATATAAAGGACATTAAAATTATTGATGTGGAAGCATATCCAATATGGATACAAACAAATTTCATACTAATAAGGAAACAAAGTTTAGAAAAATATATTTCAAAGCATTGCTAATATTAATAGCAGTTATTTCTGAGTTACAGATTATGGATGATTTTTCTTATATGTGTGTATGTTTTCTATAAGTATAAAGAAGCCTATAGTACTTTTCTAACCATAAAAAA